GGCACATGACTGCCCATCATTTGGTCTTTGGTACTCCAATCATTTAAATATTTGTTATCTTTGTCCACTGCTTTTCTACACTTGACCAAATAGATTAAGCAACTTTATTTGGTATTCACTTATTGCTTATTTGGCTTTTTTTAGGTTAATTATTTAATAATTGCCTTTTGTTTGCTTTCTTACTCAAAGTTTTTGATGAACAAAAACTAGTGTGGGACATGGATTTAGAAATAATATAATTAGTCCGAGAACATGGGTCGTATATCGAATTCACGTTTGAATTAAAATTAAAATACCGTTTTATTCCAAAATTTATATTTATGGTCGAGTATTGAATTCATTGAACAAATAGACTGTATCGTCTTGGAAAATATTTATTAGAATAATGCTTTAAAATGGTTTAATAAACCATAAAGGGGGCAAATCAGCAATTGGGAGACTTTGACAAAATCAATTAAAAGATAGGGACAATACGGAACTTGTCTTCATCATGTCATGTGTTGCAATTTAAGAATGGATAGTTAGTTATATTATATTTTATTTGCAATGAAGCTTTTCAAATTTTGCTTATTTTGCAGTTATATCTTCAACATTTTTGTATCTTTTTTAAACTTTAATTTATTTGAACATTTTGTCTCGATTTCTGTCCAAAAATATTATGTTTAATTTTTGAGCCTAATTTTCTAAAAAAATAAAATAAAAATCATTTTTTTTCTCAAATTTATTTTTAATCAAATATTTTCCTAATAAAATAATTTCTCATTTACTTTGCATCATTTTTTCTCTTCAAAAATATGTTAGATATTTTTCATCATTTTGCATGTGTTATCTTTTGTTTTGCGAATGTTTTGCCGCTACGACTAGTGTTTGCCGCTACACAACGGGGATCGATATTTTATATTCTTCTCTCTTTTCTCTTGACATCATCAGTTTTTTTATAAAGTGTTTTCTTGGTTTGATCAAATAGTCACAATTTGAACCAAGCGCCTCCATTGTATCCTGAGAGAGATTTTCTATCATACCCCGGTCGTGACTTTGTTGGAAAGGGGAGAAACATCTCTTAAAAGATAACGATTTTCGTGCCTTGGAGTTATAAAAAAAAAAAAAAAACTCTTTAATAGAGCCCAAATTCAGGTACTATTTCAATGTTCCAACTCAAGTATTAAAATTCCATTTAAAAAATTATGTCAACACAAAACACAAATCGCGAAAGAAAAGTATTAAGCAGATTAGACAAAGTCGTATGTTTGGTCAACTAGAAACAAGTTGCGTGTAAGTATGACCTATGAATAATCTATAAACATGGGATCATTAAATTCTTTTGTGCCAAGAATTGTCCAACTTGTATCCAAGAAAAAAAATGTCAAATTTTGCAAGCTCATTGGCTTCTCCCTCCTCCATTCACGTTCGAAAAGATACCTAAGTCTGGACAAATAGTATTCACATTTTCTTCTTGACAAAAGCGTAATTACATTTTATTGTTCTTATATATCGTATAGCTACATGTAAACAAAGTTGATTTTATGACACTGAGCCCCTGTTTAAACCACATTAAAATTTTCATTTTCATTCTTACTCATTTTCAACCACACATTCTTCAATATAATAATATTTTTCATCACGTCAATAACTTTTCCTTCTTTTTTTTCAACCACACATTCTCTATCAATCTACTATTCCAAAATACATTCTTCCAAAATAATGTGGCTCCAACACACCCTGAATTTGAATAAACCAGTAAATGTATTCTTTCGGATAATCTTGGATCAAAACCCTAATCTACATTCCATACTACATAGAAAAATCAAACTTTTAGTTAGTCTTTGGAGGTAGTGTATGTCATTAATTGCATGCTACATATTTAATTTAATTTAATGAGAAAATTGATGTCAAATACTAATTATTCCAATGGCATAGAAACAATGTTAAGAATAAAAACTGTGAACATGTGAACAAATAAATAGGTTAATTTTGTATCCTTGTTACTGTCATATACAAAAAGATGGATAAAAGTACAGCAATTGATTTCACTATTGGGTTATTTAACACCGCTATATTTAAAATCAGTTCACGTGACTCAGATTTTAATTAAATACAAAAAATTAAGATCCATTTAATAGGACCTATGATATACTGATACCGAGACTGATGTTCAAGATCACCGATATTAATAGGGTGTTTGTTTTTTATTCTCAAATCAATTCTCATTTTCAACCACACATTCTTCAATAAAATAATATTTTTCATCATATCAATAATTTTTTGTTCCTTTTCAACCGAAAAATGTTATTCATCCCCAATCTATGTGGATGTAAATAATTTGTTAAATTATAGGTGAAATTAAATGATTTATTTATTTAATTTCACCTATCATTTAATATCATATTAACGCCACGTAGACTGGGGATGAATAGCATTTCTCTTTTCAACCACACGTTTTCCATCATATCACTATTCAAAAATCAATTCTTCCCCCAAAAATCTCTACCAAACAAGCTCTTAAATAACATTATTCATCAATATAAGAAGGAAAAATAAAAGTTGACTCGATCAACTGTACGTTTCTTTTTAAAAAAATAAATTACTAGGACCTATTTGGTCGGGCTTCCATTTCTTGTAAATGAAAAAGTTTTGCACATTTTGAAGGAATGGGATGTGGAGTCGGCAAAACCCGATTTTTGGGAAAAATAATAAAAATAAATAAATAACCACATCTGATTTATGAAATTAAAATTTAAAAATAGAGTTTGAGATAATATTTCCTATGTCAATTTCCTTTAAAAATTCTTTTAACCAAATAAAAAATTACTAAAAAATTAAAATACATTCTTAATCTCAAAAATAATTTTGAACTTTATAAAAAGTTTTATCATACCAACCCCATAGAAACCAATCAATTAAAATCTTTTAATTACGTTGGAGTGGACCTACTCCAACTATATACAAACCTACCTAGTAAATAATTTTAATTTAAAAAAACATTCTTAGTCTAAACCCTCCCTTCCTCCGTTACCCCTGGCTATTCAACCTCCAACCTCGGTCACTAATACAATTATCAAGGGCAATACCGTCACAAAATATTACTTGTCACTCTCACTGTACGCGGAGCACATAAATAATTAATTAATCAGCTGGCGCGAAGACAACCGCCGCCTCTTCAACGATCCTTCAACTGAAACTTCCTCTCTATTTTTCTTCTTTTATATTACATTATATTATTTAATCATTAATTATTTATATATATACACGCACCATAAAGTTTCTTCTTCTTCTTTGTGGAAATTAGTCGAGAATCTAGAGGGATTACAGTTACTCTTAACTACTGGAGCATACAGGTACTTGAAATTATATTATGTTTGCAAAAATTATGAATTTTTTTTATTACAGTTTTGTATTTCATGTTTTTTTCAAAACTTTGTTACAATTTTTTGTTGTTTTAATCAATTCTTTATTATCTCGTTTTGGATAGTTTTCTTCATTCGAATTTTTTTTTGAGTAAATTGATGAAAATTAGGGGTTTTCGGCAAGTTTTCTGCTTAAATGAATCTACAGATGTTCTCATAATTAAGAACAAAATCTGACAAAGCACAGAATATTATTTTGTGCATTTATTCATGTAAAATAAAATTCCTCTACGCTTTCAATATCTGCTGTTCTAAAGAAAAAGAAAAATGTTCGCATCGATTTGTGTTCCCGAAGAAATAAAAATAAAAAGGTCAAAGTATCATCTCTTCTCATAACGATGATTCATTAATGAAAATTAATATCAATAATAAATAAATAATTACTTAAAGTTTTGGTGTTTACTGAATGGATTTATGGTAGTGTGAGTTTATTGAGATGGACAGTGATCTCTACTTGCACATGGTCTCCATGTCTCAGTTCCTGTGTCTCGATAATCATTGTTCATTGTTTTCCCTATTTTTTTATTATAAGTGTATCACGTACAAACAAATCCTTAATCATTATTTGAAATTATTTTTTTCCAATTAATTAACAATTAGCAAAGCACCAAGATGAAAATAATTACCACTTGAGTGGCTTTGAAGGAAAAGCAAAGGTGGTCTTAAGACAAGTATGTAATTTTCCTGAACTTTTTCTTAATTTGCTTTTTAATTTTTCCTCAGAAAGATAGGGGTGCTCGTGTGTAATTTTATGTGTATGTGAGCATCTATACATTAATCTTTGTGTGTGAACATATGTTTGTGAGACAGAAAGGACAGTTGAAGGTATCATTTTCAAGGATTTCCCTTTCATGCAAAGGAGTTGGGTGGGGAAGAAGGAACAGGCCAGATGAGCTCTAAATGTGAGTTTTTTTTTTTTGCTGTATGCGTGTCTGAGTAGCATGCTGAGAGCTCCAGCCCCAGCCTAGCCAACTATGGCACTCCCGCGAGATGGACAGAAGGCTGGGGACAAAACATAAAAGAGAAAAGAAGGAGAAACTAAAATACATGTAGGAATATGAAAAGGCAAGAGGGGCACTCTTATCCCTCATTAGTTATTCTATTCTCCTGCATCCGTACCAGTCCCTCTACTCTTCCCAATGGTGAGGGAGGAACTAACTTCCACGACCTTTTCTTTTTGTTACAATAGACTGAAATTTCAATCTGTTTTTCACCTATATACTAGCTGTTAAATTACATATAGCCCTCATTAGATTTTTATTCATTTGATAACTTCTTTTTGCTATTGCCTAATTGTGTGATTTGCCTGAATTCGGGTAAAGTTGTAGTGGGATCTGGGTGTCTGTAAAGATGTATTCTTTTGTTCATCTTTTTCTTTTTCATCACGCCTTATTCTTTTATTTTCTTTATTTTCCTATCTGTAGTAGCTCTCTTTTTCAGTGTGAATTTATCTGGCAGATTTTCAGCAGCAGAAAGGATCTAGGTGGAGCAATCAGCGTTGTTGATCATTAGATTACATGGTTTTGTGAAAGCCTGCCAAAGTGGGTATGAATATTATTATTATTAATATATAAAGGGGGACATCAATGTGGTCAAATGTGCACAGTCTGGATGGATGCATGTGAATCAGAGCAAGCATTACAGAAACGATCAACTGAAGAGACTACAAGACCCCCATTGGTTTCTGCTGACAACAAAAATGAAACTCCTCGTCGGTCCCGAACCAGAGAAGTTAGTTCTAGGTACAGGTCTCCTACTCCATCGCCAGCTGCCCGTCCGAAATGCTATCCTTCGCCAACTGTTAAGGTATCATCGACCTCAACTTTACGAGCACCAAAGAGGGCTATATCAGCCGAAAGGAAGCGCCCCTCTAGACCATCATCCCCACCTAGCCCGTCTCCATCAACACCAGTCCAGGATACAACTGCAGAAATGCTATTGGCATCAAGGAATATAGTAGGCAACAGATTACCAGAGTCTTTATGGCCATCTACAATGCGCAATCGCAGTGTTTCTTTTCAATCTGATACCTTGACTCGTCCTGTTAATAAGATGGAAAAACCAGTGTCTCGTGCTCTTTCGGATCGCAATCTTAAGCCATCATTAAATATAACCCATAGACAAGGTGAAACTCCTCCTTCTTCTGGGAGGCCCACACCAGAAAGGAAGAGGAGTCCACTTAAAGGAAATAATTCTGTCAATCTGTCCGAGAATTCTAGACCGGCTGATAGTCTGCACAGCCGATTATTGGATCGACATCGATGGCCAAGCAGAACCCGTGGAAAAGTATCCTCCAACATTTTGAACAGAAGTATCGATATCACTGAAAAAAATAGCAAAGCGTCATCTTTATCCCATTCAGGAATGGGTACTCGCCCCATAAGGAGATTATCTTTTGATGGGGCAAGTAGACCTTTGCAAAAATCTTCGAGTGACTTGTTAACCTTAGTATCTAGTGATGGAAATGAAAGTTCAAGTTCGAATTGTTGTTCAGCTGATGATAGTTCACTGCTGATTCAAAAGCCCGGATCTTCAAGTTTATTTGATAGAACACCTTTAGTGAATCCTGCTGTTAGATCTCAGTCCTTGCCTCATGGCTCACGTCCTGCTTCACCCTCTGCAACTAGAGGGATCAGTCCGTCTCGAACAAAGACTGTCAATTCCTCTTCTTCTATAGGTCCAAGTCCTGCTCGGGTAAGACCATCGAGCCCATCCAGACAACCACAGAGTTCAACTTCTGTTCTCAGTTTTATTGCGGATATTAAGAAAGGGAGGAAGGCTGCAAATCACATAGAAGATGTTCATCAATTGAGGCTGCTATATAATCGACAGCTGCAATGGCGATATGCAAATGCTCAAGCAGATACTGTATTACGTGTTCAGAAAGTAAAAGCAGAGGTTTGAGTTATTATCTTTGTGGAACTTCAGCATGCCTTTTGTGTGTTCCATATGTATCTAATCATCTCTTTTCTTTTTTAATTTCCTATCTTATAGTTTTTCTTTTAACTGTTGTGTAAGATAAGTTCTTTTTTTGGGAATAAGCCTTAGTTTGTTAATTGTAATGTAAGATCTGTAACTGTGGTAGCTTCACTTGGATGCGCAAATTGCTTCAGACATTGCATTATTTTGTATCTGTTTGGGATTTATATATATATATATGGCTAACAAGTTCATTTTTTAAGTCAAACATTGATTTTAACCATACATTTCATAGGACCCACAAGTACTATTAACTTATTCATCACTCATTTCTACCGACTATAATTTTAGCCCAAAAAAAAAAAAAAAAATTCCCAAACAGAAGCTGCTTTCTTTTGGGATTCTTTTTTATATTTTTTGTTGATGCATCTGGTGAATGCTAGGTATTAGCTAGTTGTTGAAGAATATATTTTGTCATATTGGTAAGATAATCGTGACTGTTGATGACAACTGAAGAACAAAATATGGAACGAGTTCCTTAGCAGCATAGATAATTATGCTTCAACCTTTGTGCACTATCCCATCCTCAATCATGGCATGAAGTTATATATGACCTGGATTGATCGCATTAGTTATCGTGGTCTTCTTCTTCATTTTTTTCTGTATGTGTTTGTTTTTCATTGAATTAAGATGCAATTCATTAGAAGTCTTTGATGGTGCAGGATACATTGTACAGGGTGTGGAGAACAATTGTGGATCTGCGGGATTGGGTGATCGGGAAAAGGATTTACATTCAGCAACTGAGGCTCAAGTTGAGGCTCTGCACAGTTTTGAACAATCAGGCAATACCTCTTTTACTACAACTTCCCATTTCAATGATACAATGTGGTATGGAATATGTGACCGTTTATTCAGTGTATTACTTGATTGATCATGTGGGAAACTAAAGGTTGGGAAAGGAATCCATGAGATCGAGTATGGAATCCTGTTTAGAAGCACAGGGCATTCCAAATAGAACCTGGGAGACAATCTGGCAAGGTAGGAGGAAAAGGAGTTCCTACTCATCATAAGCAAAGGATATTTGTTATGATTATCTTGTCAGTTTGTGTCGATGGTAGTGGCTGCTGGTCCCATAGATATTCGAAGCCTTACTTTTATAGAAGCAGCTGTCCTGATTTTACGTAAGATGAAGATAAAATTTTCCTTTGGAAGCTTCTCTGTGTGGATGTGTTTGATATGTTTCTAACTAACAGTTGATTGCTATAGTAAATTGTTGTGACCATTGCCTGGGCGAACCAAAGTGCTTTGCAAAATATATGCTAATGTAGAAGAGGTAATAGAAGCTTGGAGAGGCTGGTTTCCTGAGTACCAATAATAAAATAGTATTTCCAGTGATTGGCAGCAAGACCTGGAAAACTTTGGGCTGAGTTCTGGTCTATAGTTTATAATTTAAAAGATCCATAAGTGACTGCTGGAAGGTTGGTTAAACTTTTTAATTATCATAAAAAAATGATTGCTAAGCTAATATCATTGGAAAATTTTAAAAACGAGTTCTCAAACTTTTGCAAAATTACAATGTACAACTCTCAAATTACGCATATTTGCTGCTCTTTTGAACATCATTCAAGAAACTATCAGCTCTCTCAGAATCCTTCCTCGCCATCTCAGCAGGCAATGGAGGGCACTTGAACCTTGTGGTTATCATGAATATTTCTGATGCTCTCACTTTAAAGTAAGTTATATGGGTGCTCACATCTTTAGGCGCGCTACTTTGGAGAGCATGAAATCTACGAGTTCAAAATAGAGTCGGTAGATTCACTCTTTTTTGTTATTTCAAATTGTCTTGGGGCAGTGTGTTTTATTGCTTCCTTAAATTACCCTGAGCTAATTCAATAAATCGTTTGTGCAAAGAAGGACAATTAGGGAAATGATTGGATGTTGAAACACAAAGTTATTGCCCCGAATTCTTCTTTCTAGTTTGAAAGTGTGACATCTTCTGTTCTCTTTGCGTGGCAGCAAGTCTAAACATGAATAATTGTCAAGGAGAGCTGTACATATTGCATCTTTCCTTAGACAATCGGCAGTTAATCCTGTTCCAAAGGCACACTTGTGCGCAGCATTACACTTTGTCCTGAATAGCATTTAGTTCTCGTAGTTCTCACTGACATCCTCTTTGATACCATTTGTCATGCCCCAGCACGTGGGACAGTTGGATGTGATAGTAACTTCCAAGCCCACCTAGTGAAACCTGCGATATGGCCTGTATGAACTGCCAAAAAATATATGTGCGTGGGCTCTGAGGAAATTCATAAGTTGGCCGTATTTCCGAATGGGGGATACAAATTGGGATGTCACTCTTTAAACTGTATGCTATATTTTTGCTTCACTGGTTTCTTCTAAATATTTTAACATAAATGCAACCTGTTCAGGTAGTATGTCTTGATGAGTGGGCTTTAATTGAAATTGAACACACCAACTCGTTATCATGGGCTATCCAAGATCTGCAGGCAAGCACTCTCCGTGTTCCCATTACTGGAGGAGCAAGGGTAAGTCAGTGGACAAGTTCTAAAGTTACAATTGGTAAAGAGAAATTATTAGTTCAATCTACAATATTCAGGGAAACATTGAAGTTGTTAAAGCAGCTGTATGCTCGGCCCTTGAAGTGATGCAAGCAATGGGATCCTCCTTATGCTCAGTACTATCACAGGTTAAAATAATTCTGATTTTATAATTGCCATAGTCTAGCCTTGGTCAATATGAGATGGAGTATTGTTGCGTTGTTTAATAAATTAATCACTGGAGTCTTTTACGTACTGCATACTTAAGTAGGCTAAATTTACAGATCCAGTAAAATAGACCTCTTTCCAACTGATTGTGGCAGTTCCCTGAAACTTCTACCTCTACCCATTTTACACGTTTTTAAACTGGCCATTGATGGACTTCATCATGATTGGTCAGGTACTTCAAGATACTGAGCTAACTCAGTTATATAGTACATCCAAGAATTTATATGGATGGATATGAGCTGGATTTTGGTCAGGAACTCATTTCCCTAGAGCTTTTTAAACATGTCACAACTTAAAAGTATCGTGGCTTTTTTTGGTTTACACTGTGGTTCAGTGGCTTTTTTAGACATTAACATGGACTTCTATTTAGGCGAGCCACTATTCAAATAAATGAATTCTCTTCTCTTTCACAAAAAGCATAATAGATGGGTGGCAAAGGCTCTTGATGCTTTTTCTTACTGCCAAACTGACTGAGTTTACAAACAACAGTTTAATTTTAAAACTATAATCAGCAAACAGCATTTGTTCGGTCATCCGAACTTCTTGAAATTTGATTTGATTACTTATCAAATTTAATGTTGTTTAATGTGATGGAACATATGCCATTTGTTGATGATTTAAGATCTTACCAAATGTAATATAGCTTGCTGTGATGGAACATGTCATTTGTTGATGGTCTCACAAGTTTTCAATGTCAGTTTGTGAATGTCTGGTTAAAGCTTATACTATGCCAATTATTTGCTCAGGGTTTAACTCAGTTCTGTTTTCTGGAAGAAAGTGGATAAAAAATTGTTTAGGGCGTTTTGTTTCTTTATCTACTTTGTTGGACTAATATCCGTATTTTTGTAAATAGTCAATTTCTAATTCTGGAGAGCAATCAGTTCTTGTCCCTTATAGTTCAATTTAAATTGCACCTCAAAGTGATTAGAAAATGACAAGAAATAATATAAAGTAAGGGTGTGTTTGAGCCCCATTTTTTGAAAAAATAGGTTTTTTGTAATATTTTTTTGGAGAATATGTGGTTAAAAAGTAGAGAAAATTTTGGGTTTGCGTGAAAAAAATGTGGTTAAGAATTAGTTTGGAAAAAAATGAGTTTTTATAGAAATGGGATTCAAACAGGAGCTGAGCAGTAATTATGTTTTAAGTTCAATTGATGTAGGAACCTCTGAATCTTCACTTAATCTATCTACCATCCTCAGGTTCAGAATGAATCTTAAAGATTTGACCCGTTCAGTATATAGTTATTAATATCATACACATATCATGCCCTGAATTACGGCAGCTGATCATGTTTGTCTCAACAGAAGCAGCTTTGGGATACTATTCCTGAAACCCTCGTGTCACCATAACTTTCTTCATTAGAACTTAGAAGCGTTACAACTAAAATACGATTTGAAAGCAAATAGTCTTAAATAAACATCGAATAAAAAGTCTGATACCATGTCCCAAAAACAAAAGTTTGATAAATAATGTCCTTTAATGCTACCACCACTAGCCATCTCCTCACTTTAATTAAATGGGATTATTTAGAAGTCCATTTTAAGAACTTTATGAGAATTTAAGTTTTATTTAGGGAGTCACACTAGTTTTAATTTGAGAGAGAGAGAGAGAGAGGGCCCTCAATGAAAGGATTTTTATCTAATGCTGAGTATATGTAATCTATCGACACTATAATACGAAAGACACAGGCACACGTCCACAGAGGGGGAAGGAGAGTTGAACAATCTAAAAGCTTTTAGTAGAATGGAAATACAAATTTTGTCAAAAGCCCTCAGATGGAATGAAAGAATTTAATCTAATGTAGTTGGAGTATATGTAATCTTTTGACAAGATATAGGCTATAATAAATGCTGGCTTTCTAGATTTAGTCATTTTATCTTCATAAAATTGTACAATATCAACTTAGTCGTCTTTTGTGAAAATAGATTTATAAATATAATATTCCTTGGTGCTCATCTGCGTCTACTGTGGACCACACATTTCCCTGCCCAATGTCTTCTTGTTGAAATGCTAGAATGCTCTGTCCTTTTAAGACCCAAGGTTTTGCTGTGTTGTGTTTGTGTATTAAGAGATGGCAGTGAGATTCAACTATATTATTTAATTATTACACATGAAAACAAATACACAATGTGTGTCCTGTAGTATCTTAACTGTGTATTGACTAGTTAATAAATAGTGATCTTACAGGGTAAGAAGACTCAGAAATATATTTCCTGCAGAATATTAGCTTGCACACATCATGATAAATTGGCTGCTTGACTAGTGGATGGCAATATGTCTGACAACAATCACCACACCCAAATCAGGGATCAAATAGCAGACAGCCAGACCCTAGTAGTTTTATTAATCTACAATTTTGTAATTATCCAGTCGACAAACTAGAAGATTTCAAAATATAAAATTTTCCATTTCTTCTATGTTGTTGGACAAGCATGTAAGTTTTGACATTTTCATTGACTTGAATCTTTCTGTAAAGTCGAATATATGCATGTTGAGTAATGCCTATTTCATCAGAATGAGACTAGTATTCCGCATGATAATCGAGGATAAAATTTGTTTCTCAGTCCTGTCATGGACTTGGATCAGAACTTCAGTGCACAAAACTCGGAGTGACTGGGAATACTGCTTAATTAATAGTTCATCTTCACTTACAACAAAAGAAAAAGGTGGTAGTTACTTGCCAAATAGATCGAATTAATTGTTTATTAGTTAGTCATCCTTGGCAGAGGATTCAATAATATTTGCTTTTAGTAGTGATTGTAGTCTGTAATCTTGCTTCTCTCTTTTCCATTTACCGGAGAAATGACTGATCATGTAAGGGTTTCAGGTCCACACTCTTTCAATCTTACATGCATTTCCAATATACTGAATATGATCATAAGTTGCATAAATCTACATCCAATAGTCATGCTTATGCATGTTTGTTGTTTCCTTCCCATAGTTAATCTCTTCAGATCTTGTCTTCTAGTTCCTTCTGATTTGATCTTGTACATCATACAGGTGGAGGGGATGAACGGCCTGGTCTCTCAACTTGCTGACGTTTCAGCAAAACAAAGAGCCATGCTTGATGAATGTGAATCACTTATGGCTTCTATAGTTGCAATGCAGGTGAGATTAAAGTTATGTTATTGCAACTTTATAGTTAAGAGTGAATGTCTTGCTGTGGGAAATCAAATCTTCTTTCAAGAGTTGACATGCTGGCATGTACAAGTAGAATTCCAATAGTCAGAGCTGTTTAGCATGTTCTAGCAATCCAACTTCATCATTTTCCCCAAAACTTGAAGTGCATGTTTGGTAATGCAATATTCTACTGTACTAGACAATACAATAGACGAGATTTTAATTTCTCATCTGTAAGACTCCAGAATTATCGAGTACCCTACCGAACAAGCCAGTAGTGGATATGTGTAAATAAATAAGAGTTTATCATAATATGTGTAGTATGTGAACCCAAGATTGATGTCTCAAACATAGTTATACCAAAGGCATGCTTGACTTTTTTTGTGGAGGATTGTCTGCTGAGATATTTCTTCTTGGCCGGAGATTTTTTTATTTTTATTTTCCCAGAACTAAAGTATCACTTGTGATTTACTATCTGGCTTGTATTTTTAGGCTATATTTATATATTACGGCATGTGAAATAGCTACTTAACTCGACCACATTGTCCCGAGCAGGCAGAAGAAAACAGCCTTCGGACACATTTGTTACAGTTGAAACAAGCCTGGGAAGACGGTGAACCACTGACATTCGGGAATTAAAAAAAAAAATCCTGGAGTTTTCCATACGTGACATTCTAACTACTCGAGCTCTTCCTCGTCCGAGACGACCCAAGACTGCCTTGGGGCTTTAGTGAGTGTATAATTGATGTTTCTTTTGGTCACTTTTTATAGTATTGACTATAGTTAGAATTTGTAACGTACTCAATTCTTTACTCAACCCGGCCTAGGCTGTTGCTCCACGCTTTCTACTTCTACATAAACATTGTATCATTAATTACAAGAAAATTGTAAAGGAAAGGAATCATCCTTCGAGTTCCTTATTTTACGGCTCGCCCCAATCATCATTCACTACTATATGATACAAGTTTATGCTGTTTTTCGATTGTTTACCCACACTCCATTTATTAGGGATGGACCCCTTGCAAATATTTGGGCCTTTCTCTTTCTTATTTCATGAGATTAGCTTCAAACAAAATTTTATTTCTCATAAAATTGATACGAAAGTGAGCATGTCCAATTCAGTTTTGAATTTTATTCTCCTCCAAACAAACATAGTAAAATCTCTAAGAAAATGAATAAACAATTTGAAAAATGCTTGATGCACGTGGACGTATATCAATCACGCTCAAATGCGCTGTATTTGTTTCATTCACATTGCAACTAAACATTAGTCTTAAGTTTTCTGTAATTTACTTGCATTTACAATTGTCTGTGGTTCAAAAGACTCAATTTGATAATTATAGATTTTAACTTTTTTTAAAAAAAATAATTAATTATTTAGTATAAAAATAATTAAAATATATGTATTTCGGTACAGATAAAAGAAAATAAATCTCCCGCCGAATTCTTTTCATACAATATTCCTACATGGAAAAACTGTTGTTTGAACCAAGTTGCTTGGCAAAGCTACTTGACAAAATGACGTGTACGGTCGAGATAATTTAGAAGTGGACGTCTGTGATTATTTTGAAGTTGAGGGCGCCAAAATGGGGGGGATAGAAGGGAAAAAATTAAACAATCAGCTTGTTTGTAGCTGAAAACATTCTCTTCAGTACCTCCCCCAAATCTCAGCTCCTCCTCTCAATCTATTTTCTCGACCCCGCACCATTTCCCCCAAATCTCAGCTCCATTTCCTCTCATATTGGAACGACCCATAATCCATCTTGGCAGAATTTCAGGCAGAAAGTAGGTGGTTCTCGTTCTTGCAATTTTGCTATATATGTCCATGAGATTAATAATTTCGAGTAAAAAAAAGCTCCAAGAAATGTATCAAGGCTTTTACTTTTACCAATTTAGTTCAAGACATACCACAAAAGAATTCAAGAAAATGCAAACCCATACACACATTTACTGAACGGTGAAGACCCATTAATATCTTTTACCCAAAAAAAATTATAACTAATGATAGAAATTAAAACAAAATCAAATTAAAAAAATGTTCTTACACTCAACAGCAATAATGGAATTGCAGATTCAGGGAAAGCAACAAATCTTGTTGGAATTGCACAAAGCGGTTTCCTCGATAACGGAGAAGAAAGATGCTTTGTAGGTTGTCTTGAGCTTCCTGCTTGGTGGTCTTACCTTCCTAAACATTAAGGGGAACTTGAACTTGGAGTTATGGAGTTGTTTCGTACCCTCCCTCTTGCAAAGCTTTGCCGGTATAGCGGGAAATTTAATAATTTGAATACAGTGATGCCGGAGGTACGGTTGGTGTCGGAACTGAGTGGCTGCCGGAGAAGGTTTGTGATTTGTTTGGTATTAAGGGTTTGTGATTTTGGGGAAATGGGGAGAGAGAGAATGATGTTGTTATTTTGATTTTTTTTTTAATTGATGTCAAGTCATTTTGTCAAGTGGCTTTGTCAACCAACTTGGTACACGTACCAACAGGTTTGGGTTTTCAGTTCAGTTATTAGTTATCTGTTTCCCAATGTGTTTCGTGCGGATTATCGCTAACAATTAAAAGAAGGATAAATCTATATGTACATAATTATTGCACATAATGGATTACATAGGTCCATGTGGAAGAAATTCGGCCGTGAATGTGAAGTGTGTAAAAGTCAAAAATTGTAGATTACCGATGGATGCGCATCACATGTCAATTATGTACTTGTAGCATGATCCTTAAAAGAAAGGTTCAAACGATTGTGTAATAAACAAACCTCTTGAGACAAAGTCTCAAAAATGGGTACTTTATTTATGAAGATTACAATTGGAAAGAAGCAAAACGCCTCCAAGGGACACAAGCACACGAAGTAAATTGAAAGTTTGCAAATAGAAAGTAAATGAATTGAAATTACATATTCTCTATTGAGAGTGTTTGATTCAGGTCCTTTTCTTCTATGTCTTCTTTTCCCTTTTATACTCTTTTGCCGATTTCCTCTTGTAAAACTGCTTGGAAACTGTTTGACGCTCTATAACTACCCACTTTTTTCGTGATGGCTGACTTGTCAAGGAACTGCCGTTATCAACTGTTGTTAGTACTCTTGTCGTTTAACTGCTTCTAATCGAGATTCTTGGATCGTGGGGTATGATAAGATTGCTCAATAACCGTTTCAATAACTGAACAAAACGCTATATTCATCCAAACCTTGGGCGTCTCGAAAACTTGGGCGAGAGTGAGACTGTCGTTCTGAGCGACAATGTGATACTTCATTCGCTCAGATCCTGGGCGTTCTGCAAGCTTGGGCGATGATAGTCCTCTGCTCGTTGGCTGTCATTATATTTTACAATAGTCTTATTTGGGCCCATTCCTCATTTCCCTAACTGGGCTCCATTTCTTAGACCACATAATTGGGCCTCATTTAATCATTGAGCCTAATTCAATTAGGCCTTATTTTTGTATGTTAACACAATGATTTGCAGATCCACTGGACATGAACTTCTTCCTCAGCCTAATAAACAAGGCCAAAGCACTCTCACATCTCAACCAAACCCATGCTCAAATAATCCACAACGATCCTTTCAATGACAACATTACAATAACAAAACCGGTACAGAAACTCGTTGACCACAAAGCCAAAGCCCAAGCCCAAGCTAAGCTCCTCTTTATGCACACTAAATCACCTTACCTCTTCCTCTACAATGTCCTTATTAAGGGCCTTAAAGCCTACCCCTTTGATTATCTCTTTGTGTACAAAAATCTACGTCAACAAACCACCTTAGTTCCCCATAATTTTACCTTCGTTATCTGGGTCTAAGAAATTTGGTATTTTACTTCATGGGTAGGCATAATATCGGGTTTTTTCACGGATTTGTTTGTGGGCTCAGCTTTGGTGGACATGGATATGAATTCTTCGTGAATTGGATATTCATATAAGGTGTTCGGTGGAATATTCGAACTAGATACGGTTCTTTGGAACACTGTGATATCTAGGTTAGTGAAAAATTGTTGCTATTAGGGGGTGTCCAAAAGTTGCGAGCTGAACCTAACCTGAACCCGAACCGAATCGAACCGAACAGTTCTTCATAAGTTAAATATCCGAACGGGTACCCAAATCGAGAACCGATGAGTTTAGGTCGGGTCTAGACCAAGAACCAAAGAACCGAAATTAAATATATTTTTTTATTTTTTATATTGAATTAATTAAATTATTTTATTTTTTTCTAAACAAATTAACAAATTAATTAAATAAATAGTTGGTAAGTATTACCAATACTTAAAAAAATTTTATTTTTATAACTTTTAATTTATATTTCATTTTTTTTATGAGGCAGGCAGACTGCTTGAAGCAAATGAATTTACTTTATGTAGTGTTGCTGTAATATTAATATCTATTTTTTGGTATTTGTATACATTGAATTAATCTTAGTAGACTGCTAATGTTTTTGAATTGGACTACGTTAATTTGTAAAAGTTACGAATGAAATGTCATTAGTTGTATTTATGTAGTGTTGCTAATATTAAAAAAATTAATTATGGTACGAAACCAAACGGAACGGAACGGAACGGAACGGAACCAAACCGAACCCGAACCCGAACGGTTCCATAATTATATTTGGACCCGAAGATTTCATTTATTAAATACCCGAAAGTTTTGGGTTGGTTCGATTCGATTACCGACCCACAGACAGCCCTAATTGCTATGATGAGGCCATCCAGGTTTTCATTGACATGGTTAAGAGGACAATGCGAATTGACTCAACTACATTAGCCGTGGTTCGTTCAGGTACAGCTAAGTTGCGGGAAATGAGTTTCGGGATGATGCTTCAGTCTTTGGCTATTAAGGTTGGTTGCCATTTTCACGAACATGTGCTTACTGGTTTGATTTCTTTGTATTTGAAATGTGAGGACATTTTGACTGCTTGGGTATTGTTTGAGTTAATTGGGAAGCCGGATTTGATTGCATGCAATGCAATTATTTCTGGTTATTCTTTTAATAATAAAACTGAGTCATCAGTCCAACTATACAAAGAATTGCTTTTTTCAGGGGAAAAAGTTATTTCAAGTATTATGGTTGGTTTAATCCATGTGTTCCATCCATTTGGTCGTTTGGATCCTACGAGTTTAATTTATGATTTTTGTGTAAAGTACGGTGTTATTTTTATTTCTTTTGTTTCTACTGCATTGACTACTGTGTATTGTCGGCTGAATGAGATAGAATCTGCCAGGAAGCTTTTTGATGAGCCAGCAGACAAAAGTTTGGCATCTTGGAACTCCACGATATCAAGATATGCCCAAAATGGCCCGACAGAAATAGCAATATCAATTTTTCGTGAAATGCAGAATCTTGATATTCATCCAAATCCTGTTACAATTACCAGTATACTATCTGCATTTTCTCAACTTGGTGCTTTAAGTTTGGGAAAATGGGTCCATGACGTGATTAAGACGGAGAGTTTTGAGTCTGTTGGGATTTGATGCCATTTAACTCTTGGGGCAATGATGAAATAGGGCTTGGTCCAAAATGGAAAATGTTTTGTTTAAAGTCATTGCCCAATAACTCACAAGAAAGTAGCCCAAAACCCGGCCCAAAAGGAATTACCAAGTGTGCTGCTCTGGACCGTTGATCTATTGCCTAATCTATGGTGTGATGATGAATTATAAAAGGGAGCTTGACGATCATTCTTTGTGTGAGAATTCATTTGGTTTTCTGCCTTAGTGTGAGAGGGATGGTCTGACCCTTTTCTTCGTTCGTCTTCTCTTATTTGCCTTCATCGATTCTTTGTGAAATTAATTAAAACTCTTGGTTTTAATCACAGAACTTGATAGTATACATCTGTGATAGTGTACATCTGTGTGATCCTTCGATTGAGTTTGATATGTGTTTAGATAGGCAAATGAGATCGAGTCCATTGAGTAGCTGCTTTAGTGCGATTCTCTTAGGGTTTGGGTTTTTGTTGGCTTGTTCTTTGTGAACAGAAGGGTACAATGTATCTTTGTGATTCTGAGCCCCAAATAATAACAGATTTACTTTGTGTAAATTGTTCTTGATCTTCTTGGTGAATATTGTTGTCTGCTTCCACGTGATCTTGAGGTCGATTCCCTTACAAGTGGTATCAGAGCTCTGGTAAGGGTGAAAGGAGATTTCGATCGAGATGTGTCACTGGAAAAATTAAGTTTTCTGATTCGACATTTATTTTTCTCGATTTGTGCATAAACCCTAATTTTTCATATTGTTTCGAATTAGCTACTAATTCTCTCTCTCTCTCTGTTTGTGTTCTTGCGAGGGAACCTGGTTCTTGGTGAACATTCTGGAGATTGGGCTGCAAACTAGGTGTTCTGCAGAGTCTCCAGTTCTTCTTCAAGCTAGCTGAAGGCTGATTATTGGAGTTGTCTGCGACTGGTTCTTGGTGAACCATGTTTGGTGAAATCTTCTCTAACACCCTGCATTTTGTGATTTTTGATTGTGTTGTTACTGCATCCTGAATATTGTCACTTCCCTTGATTTTCCTTGTATTGTGTGTCCCTTCTGGTGTTGAGAATTGAGCCTTGACTTGGGGTCTTAAACCTCATGGAATCCTGGTGAATTCTAACACCTTGAATTAGTAGAATTCTGATTATTAGTCTGTTTGATTCTCAGTAGCTTCATTCTTTGTGAATTTCCTTTTTTTTCTTTTTTTTTTATTTCAGACCTGTTTAATCTCACTGCCTATCTTTATGATTCTTTGAGTTTATTAAATAGTCTGTTATCACTGTTATATACTGTTCACTAGGTTGATAGCCTATTTTCAGTTTGATGTGTTTTCATTCCTGTTTTGTTTACACTATGATTTGTGTGACATTTAAATTGGTTGTTTGAAATATGTTATTACTGTTTCTCTGCGGAATTGTGACCTAAAAAATTCTCTGTGTTGATTAAAAATTTCAAATGACAATAGCAACATTTGAACTTGGAGTTTTTAATAGAAAATGGGATTTTTCCATTTGGCAGCAAAAAATGAGAGGGGTCTCAAAGAGGAGTCTTAGTTCAACAGAAAGTCTCTAAGGCTATAACTGGTGAATTTCCTGCTATTATGACTGATGATCAAAAACTTGAATCTGATGAACTTGCTTATACCTCTATAAT